ACGGGGGAATATCCATGCCACGTCACAACACAGCGTCGGCACTATGGGACCTCGAGGGGGGGCGCAGGCACCGTCACCACCCAGCAGGCTGGGGAGCGGGCTGGGGCGCCAAGGGTTCACAAAGGCAAAAGACCCGTCCACCCATAGATAGAGAGAGATATATATATATAAAAAAAAATAGTTCCACGATGACCAGAGCAGAACCACAGGGACACGCGTGCAAGCGAAATGTACAGCAGCCCGCGAGCAGGTAAACATGCTTTGTACACACACAGACACACCAGGACACAGCCGGGGTTTATGGTGCTGGGAGGGAGACAGAGCCATAAACCCGGGCTTCACACACACGCTCACGCACACACACACGCACACGCATCAGCCCCTGCGGGCAGCGCCCACGGCTCGGGCACGCGCCGGGGCTCGGGGGCTTGGACACAGCGGGTGTTTCTCACTGCTGGACATGTTACGGAGACACGGACACGGTCCCTTGGAACGGAACTGGAGGAAGAACTCGTGAGCGAACGGGGCAGGGGCACCCCTGCTCCTCCCCGGCACGCAGGCACCGGCCGGGGCCGGCTGGAGAGGAGCAGGGGGCTACCGGCGGTTCGTTGTGCTGCTGGTGGAAGAGGCAAGGATGGGGGTCCATTATGCCTCTGGCTCGTATTCCTGGTATTCCTCCTGTGGGATGGGGAAGGAAAGAGCCAGTGAGAGAGTTCAGGTGGGGCACACAGTCCCTCTCTTCTCCAGCCCAACACCAGCTTTGCTCCGGACAGTGCACTGACCACTGTCACGCTGTGTCCACTGTGCCACCCTGTCCCCTCACCTGTGGGGGTTCCTCGTAGTTCTCCCCCTCTGGCTCCAGCAGCGGTTCGACCAGTGGCTCCTCCACAGCCTCCTGGGCCACTTCTTCTGCCTGAGAGTGGACCAGGAAGTCAGTGCCACACACACACACATACACACACACAGCACCCACCCTCCCTGCCCCTGCCAGACCAGCAATGCACCTGGGATACAAGGGGCTCTATGGGGAGCCAGTGGGACCCTGGGCACACAGCAGCCCACCTGCTGGGAGGTGACATGCACAGGTCTGTGGGAGCAGGGACTGTGTTAGTATGTCCCTACACTGCTCCCAGCTCCAGCCTCGGGCACGCAATGAGTGCTGGCACCACGTGGGTCTCGACAGACTCCAGGCACTGGCAGGGCTGCGGGAGCATCCTGCATCCCTAGCAGGGGAGGGCGGTGCTGGGTAACCCCTCCCCGGGGCTGGCAGGCGGGAAAGGGGGGCAGCCAATCCCCCTGTGCAGCGGCGGTGGCGGCGGTGGCCTCATTTCTTCAGCTGATGCTATTTTGGGCTAAGCTGGAAGCCAAGGGCTCACGGGGCGGCGAGCTGGAACCCGCTGCCCCTCCCGCAGCTGTCAGGTCACCTCGCAGCTGCTGGAGCGAAGCGCCGCGGGCCCACGCCACCGGCCGCCATGCCAGGCCCCGAGCGCGCACACGTCCGCACACGGAACACGCGGCCACGCACGCTCGGGGCCACCATGCCCGCCTGCCATGGGCACGGCGAGACCACCTGGGCACCCTTGTGGTGCCTGCTTTGGGGCTGGGGAACAGCTCCTCGCCAAACCTGGGGATAAGTCAGCCGCCCCATGGGCACGGCGAGACCACCTGGGCACCCTCGTGGTGCCTGCTTTGGGGCTGGGGAACAGCTCCTCGCCAAACCTAGGGGTGTGCCAGCCTCCCCATGGGCATGGTGATGCCTGTGGATTCTCACCTTCAGGTCTGCAGGGAACTCCTCCTTCTTCACCAGCCCCGTGGCCGCCGCAATGTTGCCAGCGCCAGTGAACGCTGCTTCACCCAGCTGGGACGCCTGCTCCTTCGCTTTCTCAGCCACTGCAACAGCCAGGGGTGCCCATCAGTGCCCCCCGCCATGCCAAAAGGGGTGCCCAGCTGTGGTTTCATGCCCTGCACCACCCAGGGGGGCAGCTGGCAGGGAGATGCTGGGCAGGATCAAGCTCTTCCCATTTCCTTGCCCTGGTGGGGAGGGGAGGGGGCCATGACACTGCTCTGCAGCTGGGCAAGGAGTGTGAGCAGCCGCTGCAAATCCTTGGTTGCCGGCCCTGTTATATAAGAGGCTTTAGCAGAGTGACATCAGCCCCTCAATTAGCCTCTGATCTCGTTAGTGTGGCTCCCAGGGCCGGAGGGGTACCACAGCAGGAAGACAGAGGGGTCCATACCTGAGGTTACGCCTTGCACCACACCTTGGGTTTTGCTCCCTGAGGGTAGAAAGAGACAGAGATCGGGTTAGAGGGACTGACAGCTGGGCTCCAACATGTGCCATGCCCGGGACCCTGGCAGGGCTCTGAGCCAGGACAGCATCCTGTCCACACCACATGCCAGGGCACCTAGGGGGCTGAGCTCTTGCCTGGCTCCCCTCAAGGCTCCTGTTGTCCCTGCAAGAGCCCGAACTGGGGCAGCACAGGGCTGCTGCCACGTGCCAGGCAGGGCAGAGACTCCAGGGCCCAGCACCATGTCAGGGCACAGCCAGGCTGGGAGAATGTGAGCCGTGCTGCTGAGAAAAACCTCCCATGGGATACAGACCTAGAACCAACATAGCATGGGAAGCCCCACAGCTCCAGTGCCTGGAGTTGGGTGATGCTGCTGGCTGTGCCAACCCTGCCAGGCTCCCTCAAGCAGAGCAACACCACCCTGGATACCCCACGGAATGGGAGTGGGATGTCTAGGATGGAAGGAAAGGTAGAGGCTGGGCAGCTCCTGTAGGATGAGGCCTCAGGACTTTCCTTGAGCTGCTGGACCCCTGTCCAGCACACATACCCTGGTGAGGATGGGGGCCTAGGGCAGGCACTCAACACTGCCCAGGGGAACAGTTCGGGGCTTCAGCTCTCCCACAGAGCTTGTGCCCTCTGGAGCAGAACAGAGCCTCAGCCCTGCGTCCTCCTCCCTCTTACTGCAAGCAGGGCTGGCCTGAGCTCCCTCCTTGGGCATTCCAGCACCACAGCCAGGTACACAGACTGCCCAGGAACTGCTCCTCCTGCCAGGTATGTCTTCTAGGACTTGGCCCCGAATAGATCCCGCCCCTAAGGGGCAGCATGGAGGGAGCCCTCAGCCACCAGCCGGGTGCAGGGGAGATGCTGGTGTGGGATGAGCTCCAGGGAATTGTCTTTCCAAGTGGGACAAATCCGGTCCCCACCCCCCTGCCCCAAGGCAGGCACATCCCAACACAGGGGTCACCACCTCCATCACGGTCCCTCTGCTTTCCTGCCCTAAAACATCCCGGGCAAGAGCTGAGAGACCCTCGGGCTCAGACTGGGAGCTGCAAGGGGGGGTCCAGTCCCCGAGGGTTCCATCCCCTCAGCCTGGAGACCAGTCCCCGACTCTGCTCCTGCCTGCGGAGCCCACTCTGCTGCCCTGCGGATTCCCGGTGGGCAAGGAGGCACTGCGGGCACCGACCCTCTGCCCCGGAGCGCTCCGCCGCAGGGTGGTCGTGGTGGGGAAGGAGCAAGAGAGAGGGGGAGCGGGACCGGGGACAGGTGCGGACGCAAGGGGGACGGCAGGGGGATGGGAAGGAGGACGCAAGGGCAAACGCAGGAGCAGGCAAGGGCAGCAGAGAGGGCCGGCAGGGGCAGGCAGGGACGGGCAGAGATTAGCCGGGGGTGGGGAGGCAGGGAGCTGTCAGGGGGCAGGCAGGGGGCAGGCAGGACAAGCCGGTCCTTACCGACATAGAGGACCCCTTCCTTGGTCTTCTCTGCGGCCTCGGCCACCCCCTGCTTGGTCTTCTCAGCTGCGGCGACCACCCCTTCCTTGGCCTTGGACAAGCCCTTCATAAACACCTCCATGGCGGCTCTGCGGGGAGAGGCCGCACGGCTTCACCCCGCCCCGGCCCCGCGCCCGCCCGTCCGCCCCGCGCATCCCGGTCCCGCGCATCCCATCCCCGCGCATCTCGGTCCCGCGCATCCCATCCCTACGCATCCCATTCCCGCGCATCCCGGTCCCGCGCCCCCGGCCCCGCCGCCCGCCCGACCTGGCTCGCTGTCGGCGGGGACGGGCGGGCCGGGCCGGGCCGGGCCGGGCTGCGGCGGGGCGGGCTCAGTGCGGCTGTGCCGGAGCCGCGCTGCGCCGCGCTGCGCCGTGATGCGCGGGGGGGACCGCGCCGCGCCGGGCTGCGCCGGGCTGAGCCGGGCTGAGCCGTGCTCGGCCGTGCCGAGCCGTGCCCCGCCGCCCCCGCCCGCCCCGCACCGCCCCGCCCCGCACGGCAGCGGCGCCCCCGGCCCTTCGCCACCCGCAGGCTCCTTTCCCGCACTGCGCGGCACCCCTGGGACAGTCGTTCTTCCCATCCCCATCACTCATCGTGATCCCACCCCACGCTGTCCCCATGCTATTCTGTCCTCACCCCCAGCGCATCCTATCCTACCATCTCTCGGTCACGTCTCCTCCCGTTCCTTGTCCCATTTCGTCCCGATCCCATTGCTTTCCATCTACAGGCTGCCCTTACCCCATTCCATCCCTATTGCCATCCAACTCTCTCCACCCTGTCCCTATGCCATTCCCATCCCCTTCTCGTCATGTCGTCTTCCCACTTCATCCCGTCCTATTCCCATCCCACCACATCCAATTCTGAACCCATTCCCTCCCCATCACATCCTGTCCTGACCCCATCCTCCCCATCCCATCCTATCCCTACCTTCTAATCTGATTCTATCCCACCCTCTCTGTGTACCATACTGCCCTGCCCATACTACACCATGGTCCTCACACACGGTGCCCAACTTACACAATTCTACTCCCTCATTCTGATTCCATACCACTCTGAGCCCCTGTCCTCATCCCCCAGCTCCTTGCCCTAGAGAGGCATCTCCCATCTCTGTGGTCCCCAGGATACCACCCTCCCACCCCACCAGCTGCAGCTGGGATAGGTTCTCATCCCACCTGCCTGTGGGTACTTAAGAGCCAGAGGCAGCCCAGGAGAGCCTGTGCTGATCAAGATGGCTACAGGGGAGCAGGTGGGTGCTTGCCCTGAGGGCTGGGGAGGGTGTAGAACACAGACAGCCCTGCCAGCCCTCGGAGCACCCAGTGTGGGAGGTAGCTGGGGGGCTGCAGGCTCCCTGCAGGGGTGGTCATGGAGTTCTTTGGGGCTGTCCCTCCTTCCTCTGCAGAGGCAAGGGGAGCGACGCCGGCAGAGGGCTCGGCAGCAAGAGCTGCTCCAGGCAGAGATCCTGGGCAAGCACCCCCTGCAGAACAGGTATGGGAGGCCTGGCCGTGGACAGCCTCTCCCAGCACTGGGAGGAGTGTGCTGGGACTGGAAGAGGACTCTGGCCCCATTTCCCCTCCCTCCCCAGATGGGCACTGTGGTTTTTCAAGAATGACAAGAGCAAGATGTGGCAGGCAAACCTGCGCCTCGTCACCAAATTCAGCACTGTGGAGGACTTCTGGGCGTGAGTGTCCATTGGGTGGGGACACCCACTGTGCCCCTTCTGGAGACGTTCTGGTGGGGGCGTCTGAGCCTGAGGCACCTATTCTCACCTGCTTCTGTGTCTCCATCTAACACAGGCTGTACAGTCACATCCAGCTCGCCAGCAAGCTCGCAGCTGGCTGTGACTACTCCCTCTTCAAGGTACGATACCCCATCCTCAGAATCCCCCCAGCACCCAGCATTATGGGGACACACTGGGTGCTGGTATGTCAGGATGCCCTGGTCGTAAGGTGGGAGGGGAAGTCTAGCTGCATGTTCACAGCTCCCCAGGCTATTCGGTGCCCCTGACTGTTCCCTTGCCCACCCCTAGGATGGCATTGAGCCCATGTGGGAGGACAGCCAGAACAAGCGTGGTGGGCGCTGGCTCATCACCCTGGCCAAGCAGCAGCGGCACACCGAGCTGGACCGGTTCTGGCTGGACACAGTGAGTGCGGCCCCACTCGAGGGGTCCTGGCTGTGGTGTTCCTGCTGCCCCAGGGCTGATCCTCAGTGGTGACTGTCTCAGGTTTCCCTTCTCCTCCCAACAGCTGCTGTGCCTCATTGGGGAGATGTTTGATGAGTACAGCGACGAGGTGTGTGGGGCTGTCATCAACATCCGCACCAAGGGGGACAAGATTGCCATCTGGACCCGGGAAGCGGAGAACCGGGAAGGGGTCACCCACATTGGGTAATGCAGTTTCACGAGAGACTGCACAGGGAATAAGAGCTCCCCCTGCTTGGGGGAATAGGTCCAGTGAGAGAATGGTGCTGCCCTGTTCATGCATCCCCCTTCTCTCCTCTAGGCGTGTCTACAAGGAGCACCTGGGCCTGTCACAAAAGGTGGCCATTGGCTACCAGGCTCATGCGGACACGGCCACCAAGAGCGCCTCCCTTGCCAAGACCAAGTTTGTGGTGTGACTGCAGGGAGAGTGGGGAGCTGCCTATGAAGTTCCTATGTACTGTCTCACAATGAATTTCTGCATCTGAGCACGATCTGTGTCTCCAGGGCTCTTGGTAACTTGGGGTGGCTCCTGATTGTTGGGGAGGTTTCCTGGGAGGGAGGTGATGATGTGCCATTTACTCATCCCTTCATTCTGGGTGAGTGGGGCCAGGAGCACAGAGCTGGCATCACTGTGGGCTTGGGACACTGCACATGTCCCCTCACTTCCCCTAGAGCCTGGGACCAGTGCCCCTCTCCTTGAGGATATGGGGGTGTTTCCTGTGTTTTGGGGGGCCCTGGAGAGCTCCCAGAAGGATGTTATTCTGTCCTTGCCTGGCCAAGGCATAGGTACAGCTCACTGCCCTGCAAACCTGGGCTTGGGAGGGACTACTGAGGCCCAGGTTATCTGGGCCAGCTCAGCCTGGGGAGCTGGTCCACTTTTCTCCTCATGTCCCTGCACATGTGGAACATGGGTCTGCCTTCTCAGGAAGATCAGTTTCCCAGCTGAGGGCTGGCAGTGTTCCTGCAGGGTGGGTGTTGGGCTGCAGCACAGCATGGTCCCCATGCTGCATCCCCTCCTGCAGACACTTGCAACATAGGTGTTATAAAGCTCATTTTCTTCCCAAGGTTTTGTTGGTGCTAGACCTGCATATTCACAGCCTCAGTCTTTTGAGCCCTGGCACTTTGCTGGCTCCTCCTTTCCATGGCTCATGCCCTCTGCTGTCCCTTCTGGTGGTCCTGGCCCCCCATACTCTCTTCCAGACTCATCCCACACTCTGTCCTTTAATCTTTTATTTACGTGTTTGATTGTTGTATCTGTGCTTCCCTGCCTAGTCACATTCTAGAGGTGGAGCTGTCTGCACACCTCTTGACAGTGGCAGCTGTGGTTCTGCCCTCACTGCAGCTCTCATCCAGGAGTATCTCCCATTCCCTCCAGCAGCACCCAGGCTCTGTCTCAGTCCAGGCCTGCACCTTGTCCAGGGCCACATGTCCAGCCCATCTGTGCCACCTCACCAGTCCAGAGCCAGGGTTGCTTGTCCCCTGCTGTGATGGCTCAGTGCTGCCCTGCCTGCAGACAGGCTCTGCAGAGACCTGGTCCTGCACGAGGATGAAGTATTGACCACTCGCTGCTCTTAGAGCTGGTTGTGACCTGTCTGGCCACAGCTTGACAGGCAGCTGCTGTGGCTGTGTCACCCAAGGTCTCGACTGCCTGCAGTGCAGGCTGTAAGGATGAGCTTGCTGAGCCCTGCACCACCCTGGGACGCTGCCATGGCTGCAAAGAGCCGTGTCCCTCGGACTCAGCTGCCTTTCTCCAGGGATATCAGCCTTGCAGCTCCCCGAGGGCAGTGCAGGGCCCTCCACCACCCAATATTGCTCCTGTTCCAGGCAGAAGTTGATACTAGAGACTGCAGACAGGAGCTAATCCCTGTCAGGCCATGTCCTTGTGTCTGTGATGGCTTTAAGTCATTTCTCTGTGCAGGTGCAAGGGCAACAGCACCGCACTGCCCTCCCCGGTGGGGCAACGGGGCTGGAGAGCCTGTAGGTGGCAGGACCGGGAGAAGGCAGGCAGTATGGGGGGTAGCACTCCAAAATGAGGGTGCTCCACGTGGCAGGACTGGGATGAGGGCATACAATATGGGGGAGTAGCACTCCGAAATGGGGATGCTGCAAGCATGTGGCAGGACCGGGATGAGGGGATGAAGTATGGGGGGGTAACACACAAAAATGGGGGTGCTGCAGGTGGCAGGACCGGGATGAGGGCAGGCAGTATGAGGGGGTAGCACCCTGAAACGGAGGTGCTGCAGGTGGCGCGACTGGGATGTGGGGATGCAGAATGGGGTGTAGCACCCCAAACTGGGGGTGCTGCAAGCCGGGGATCGGGGGTGGCTCTTCCTGCCTTGCCCACTGGTCCCTCACGGGCATCGCTTGCCGGCAGCTCGGGTGCTGCCTGCTTTGCCTGTACCGCCGGTCCCTCGCCACGCGATGGTGCCGCTCGCCCGGTCTTGGCCAACTCCGGCGCGGCAGGGATGGCAGCTTGCCCTGCCTGCGGTGGGGTCCCTGTCTGCCCTACCCTGCCTACGTTTGAGTCCCTGCCTGAAGCGGGGTCACAGCGCTACCCCAGCCACCCCCCACTCCACGCCCCCAGAATGAGAGACAGGCAGAGCCACGCGTAAGGCTGGCAAAGCTGAAGCTGGAGGAGAGGTTGCTGAGAACCCCTAAAACGCACCATTAATGCCCCTCCCCAGCATTGACAGCGTCAAGTGTGTGAGAGGCAGGGGTTGTCTATCCCTCTGACCCTTCTGCCTACTGCTGTCTTACATGGCCCTGTCATTGCCCCTCGCCTGGCTCTAGGGCTGAGCCCCCTACAGCCTGGCTGTCCTTGTCCCCTTACCCCAGCAAGGGCGTTGTGCTCATGGGGTGCCCTTGCCCCATCACATCACAAGGCCAAGGTTAACTGGGGCAGGAGGGGGTGCAGAGGCTGCTGCACTGCCGTGGTTCATCACCATTCTTATGTTGCCACAGTGGGATTTCATTTGATTGGAAAAATAATAGGAGCCATTTATCTCTATGGCTTTATGGGTTCCCATCAGCCCTGAAGCCCAGCCAGGCTGGGGGGCTGGCAGTGCCCACCCAGAGCCTGCCCTTTGGGGATATAATGACCTTCATCTTCAATCTTTGCATCCCACAGCCCCTGTCTGAGGGCCAGAGCATGTTGGGGGGCACAAAGTCACCCCCTGGGTGGGCACAGCAGTTGCCAGGAGCCACACAGCAAGTACAGCAGTGCCAGGGCTGCCCCCGGCCTGTCTCATGCTGGGCAGCTGTCCCAGCTGGCAGCCGAGCTGGCAGCCCTGTCAATAATAATAATTAAAAATTAATACTAATCAAAAGGGAGAGGCAGATGGCAGCAGACATGCGGCAGGGCTGGAGGTGGGGGTGGAAGGCACGACAGACAGAGGGGTCTGCAAGGACAGTGGTAGGGGGGCCAGGAGTGTTGTGGGGTCTAGCGGGGATGGGAGGTGCAGGTCAAGGGACCCACATGGCACAAGAGGGGTGGAGGATATGGGGCTGGGGTTGCTGTGGGGCACAGCAGGAATGGGGGTGGACTGCGCTGCTGCAGGGATGGGGTCCTGTGTCCCCCTTTCCATGCAGGGGCTGTGGGTCAGTGGCGCTGGGTGCCCATGCTGGGTCACCTTGCCAGCAGCTGGCGTACAGCCATGGCCAGGCACTGCCAGTCCAGCTTCTCCCTGAGCCACCAGCTCTGGCAGCAAGGACAGATCCTGCCTCCGGCCCCTGGCACACGTTTGGTGCAGGCACCCATTCTTGCAACCAGTGAGTGCTGCAGGGTTAAAATCCCCCAAATAACTGGGGAAGGAGCTGCTGGCTCCGTGCAGGGTGCGTGGGCCGGGGAAGAACAGGCAGCGCTGGCTCACCGTGGGAGTGGGCAGGCAGTGCCGGTGCTGAGGCTGTGCCACGCTGTTCCCGCAGTGCCTGAGCCCACCTGCCTGCCCCTGTCACCCATCCGGGAGCCATGGGGGGACTCTGCACCTTGCAGGAGAGCTGTGGGTACACAGAGGACCTCTGTGCCTGGCTACTGCCAGCATCCCTATGCATTCCTGGACTGGAGCTCCCCGTGCCCTCCCTGCCAGGCCCTGTAAATGGCACAAACTGCACGGACCCTCCTTTCAGAATCACCGTGGTGTGAAAGGAGGGGTACCCAGGGTGAGGGGTACCTACAGCGCACCGTTCCCATGACAACCTCCCGGAAGAGACAGCAGTTGGTGCGGGAGATGCGGGAGCCGAGGGGCCTGTGGACCCGCCGGGCATGGGCTCCCACGCCTGGCAGGACGCAGTGGGGCACAGCAGAGGGGCTGCACCTCTGGTTCTTGTTCCCACGTTCGGGCTCTGCCTGCTCCATCCTGTTTCCTGCAGCTTGGGACAGGCAGGCACTGCACGGCTTGTTCTGGGCTGCTGCTCTCCAGCTCCAGCTGGTTTGCACGGTGGGGAAGTGGTTAAGTGCTTGCAGGGTCGTCCCCAGCGCCAGCAGCAGAAGAGGCAAAGACGGGGACAGTATCTCCTGCCCTGCGCCTCAGGGAGCCTGTACCTGAGAAGGGTCCTTTGCTGTCACTTCTCATCTGGGTGGATACCAGGCTCTGCAACACGGCTGAGCACTCTCCTTCCCCGCAGGGACGGGCTGGCACTTCTCGCTTGGCAGAGGCAGGCGGGGGGAGGTGGCGGGTGGGATGGGGACAGGGATGGGGACAGGGACAGGAGCTGTGTGGCCACAAACCTGCAGGCATGTCTGCAGCACGGGGCTGTGCAGGCATTGCCACCGCGCCTTTGGGGTGTGTCCTGCTGGTCCTGTATCATGGCCTGGGTGCCCGCCAGATGGCTGGCATGTGCCCATAGAGCCTTTCCCTCCCCCGGTCACCGTGCCCATGCTGTCCTCGAGACTCTGGTACTGCCCCTGCCCGCAGCCCCCTCCCTCAGCTCCCACAGTGGATGCCACCAGCTCCGAGGGACCACCCTGCACCTCACTCAACACAGATGCATCCAAACATTAGCACCCTCACGTCCTCCCAGCGTGACCCAGGGACCACCAGCCACTCTCTCTTTTCACAGGGGAGCAGGTGTCAGCCCTGAGGCTGCCAGGACACAGAGCACATGGCAGTGCCGTCGGTGCCTGTCCTTTCCCTCCTGGCCCTATGCACCCTGGTGTGCAAGGGGCTGGTGATGCTGCCCCCACAGCCACCCCTTTTCACAGCACCGGGGGCTGCCAGGCTCCTTGCGTGCCCCAGCTCCACAGCTCTGGCTGGGAGGGCTGGAGTTTCCCGGGCGGTCGATGTGCCCATCGATCCCGCACAGCTCCGCCGGCTGCTCTCCCACCGCCCCGCTAATTAATTGTCTGCTGCTGCTGTGGGAGTGCTGGGCACGGGGGTGCTTGGGCTGCCTGCACTCTGCCCTGCCTGCACCCTGCCTG